GAGCCACAACTTTTCTTTCAAAAACAAAGATGCCAACTGGGGTGGGCAGCTGGGGTGGCAAGGCTATTGTTTAGGGTGGCAGTTGCCACCCCATGCCACCCCGGTAGATCCGCCCCTGCTAACAAACATCATTCAGCTTTCTTCTTTCTTTAGCTTGCTTGCAACGTTCGCTAATCGTTCGCGGGTAGTATGGTCGTCATTAGCAATGCCAGAAAAAGAAAAAACATTTTAATTTCTAAATCTAAAAACAACAATAGCCTATAAGAATGTATTCAAACCAGAGTTTCAATTATCTCAAGCTTATTTTCATTCGTTGTAGTATTTTGATAGTATGATTTATTTTGTAATTAATGTTATTCAATCAAGCCTCAAACTCACTTGTCCCTATAGCCTGTTTTAAATTGAAGTTGTCTGAAGTCCTTACCACCAGCTGCTCTTGCAGTAATAAGTAGTGTATCTTTCTTACTGTCCCGAATGTGCACAATGTAGTGACTGCTTTTCGTCTTTTTGTTTACTTAGTTGTGTTCTCTGTATTTTATATGTCTGTGTTATGTGCAAGAACATGTAACGTTGCTGCCTTCTTGGCCAGGTCAGCATTCTAAATGAGATTTTGTCTCAATGTTTTCATCTGGTTAAATAAAGGTTCAATAAAATGTAAAACAAATGTATATGTCTGATTCCTACGCGTACCACTAGCGGGAGCTGGCGTACCACCAGTGGTACGCGTACCACAGGTTGAGAACCGCTGCTATACAATGCTATACTCTGTGATAATCACATTTAATGACTCAGCACATTATCCATGAAACCTGTGAATCCCCAATGTGAAGCCCTGAGCCTGTTTTTCAGGTCTCAGGCTCGAAAATGACATTCCCAGAACAAATGATCATATCTTCCCTTCTAAAGGGTTAAATTAATAATATTTTTTCTCAAAGCAAGGTTACATCTGTGAGTTGGATGTAGAAGTGTCAGAATCAATATAGATGTTTTTTATTTTAAGTCAATTTCAGATTGAACACAGTAAAAAAAAGTTTACTTATAGTGAAAACCACCCTTGAATGATGAGATGATAGACTAAAAGCTTTAGGAATCCAAACTACAACATATAATAAGTACCCTGTATCAATATTGATGCAAAACAAGTTAAATTGGACCTTTTTAGAGAGATTTAGCAAAAGAAACCCCACTTCTGGGATAATTTGGAAGGATTTTCCATATCTCTGGCCCCCCTTGCTCGATTTTGCTGATTGACATCTCTTTCTAACCGTCAGAGCCAATGGAATCGAGGGGAACTCCCACATACTCCTTATTTGGTAATATGTGTGTGTGAGACTGACGCATAGCCAAAACCGGAAGCTGCGATAACTCTGGTAGCTACCATTAGCAGCTAACTTTTACTCTCCGATTTTTACATTAAAATGGAATTATGGATTATAAATAATTTTTTCAAATCAACAGAAACATTATCAACCTATGGATCAACCGATTCAGTCGCTTTTTTTCTCGTTTTCATGCCATTGAATACGTCTTTTGATCAGATTGACAGCTACGGTGAGACGATCTCCCGTAAAAGCTCCGTAAAGGTACGTGTTGTGATGTCTGAGTTTGCTTCCCCTGTCGCGAGTTCAGATCACTCAGTGATGATACTATACCTATATAATCTGTGGAACCTCAGCTTTAAACGGACATCTTGTGTGCAGCTACGATAAGTAATAAGGGTATCTTTATCTTGAGTTATGTGCCTAAGTGCGTTAGCAATTTTTGCTCAGGGGTCATTTAGATGCTTCTTATGAGACTTATATTTTGTTTTGGTAAAAATGGTTTGTATCGTCAGTTAGCTGAGATTCTTCCCGTTAATCTGGTATAACACATTAATAGGTTCTTAAATATTAAGATGCCCTGAGACACAGTGTCGTGAAAAGAAAAAAAAAGGACCCGCCGAGGGGGGCTTTGGGAGCTTAACAGGAATCATGGTTAAAAGTTGAGAAGCAAGCTTTGTGCAGCAGACATTCCGGCCCAGACTGAGCGTATCTATCATTGAAATGGATAAAAGTTCCTCAACATTTATCAAGAAAAAGAGAGTCAAGAAGAAAAATGTAATATTAATTCTTCAAAACAAAAGTGGGTCTCCTTTTTCCTGTTTAAATTATTAAAAAACTGCGACATTTGGGCTCATTCAGGCAGGGAAACAGCACTGTATACTGACACTGTTTCACACACGTGTGTGTGTGCGTGCGCGTGTGCGAGTGTGTGTGTGTGACACCTCTGCCGACCACACAGGGGAGCTGTGAAGCCACTGAAGGCACATTCCCACACACAGACACAGACCCAGGGCAGTCCTCTGTCTTTTCT